AGCCTGCTGTCTCATTCTTGGCTTGTATTCATCTCTCCTCCTGCATCAACGTTGTGCCCACTTTCGCTATAATTGCGGCGGCTGATGTGCTTCCCCAACTATTCTCATCGTGCTTCCCGCCAACGTCAGATCGCAGCGCTACACGTCCCATCCGACAATGTCACTTGGACATGCACCGAGGCCACGGTCAAAGTTCCACCTTGCCGTTAGCAGATATATGAGCTTGTCGTTTATTATGACACACGGAATTGAGACATTGAGACCACAGGTGCTAAGCTCTGCTGTCTGTCCAGGTTCCGAGAAGGCAAGCTGCATCGCACAATCACAGGAAATAGAAGCCAGTAAGGAGCTGTCTCCAAGAAATGGTTCAATGAGGTGTTGATAAGACAGCAGGCAGCACAGTAGGATTAAGATTCTCAGCTGCAGTGGTCTTCGAAGATGATCTTTGAACTACCTGCCCAAATCGATGCCGACTCGTCTTCAACTGCACATCTCATGCAGTTCTGAGACATCATTTCGACTGTTCATGCCTATACTACCCACAGCAAGCAGAACTGGGCTTTCCAGGCGAAGAGCAGCTGACTGAGGAGATGCTAGCTTCGGGGTCTTTTGACCAAAGTAGGCGAGAGTAACGAGCGAAGGGGAGATAGGCAGAGGAAAGGCTAGACAGTGAGTGACCTGTCAGTGTCCACTGCTCTTGTATGTATGATATACACAAAACAGAACCGTCCATTGAGTTGTATCAGAGCTTGTTTTCAGCCCAAACCGCAGGCTGAAGAATAGCGAGAACTCAAAGCTTCCGCTTTTGTGGGCCATTTGTTGTCTTATCTGGAGCTGCAGCTGGCAGAGAAGTTCAATCCTGGGCGTATTCTCTGCAATGAATTCCAGATTTCGTAGGTGAGTATATGCATAGCGGTCTTTTGGGCCACGTCTGACCCTTTGACACCAGCCCGACTCCCAACAGCTGATTGGCTTTAGTGTACATCTCTGCGTCGTATGTCCACTACTTCCTCTTTTGTCTCTCACACAACTTACGCTTGATCTGCAAAGCTGACCATTCGCTTGGCAAAGGGCTCAGGTGGCTTTTGTTTACCTCATGCAGGGCATACGACCAGACCACACAGGCTCTCCATCCATGTTATCACCTGCACCAATGACTACAAGAAGAGCATCATGATGATGTTTAACACATCATATAACTTACTGTGGCAGGGCAACAAGTCTAGCAAGACCAGCAGGCGGTCTGTAGGAGCAGATGCCCCCAATTTGAAGCTGTTGTATGTGTGCTCTACAGTTCGAACACCGGCACGTCAGGAAGATTCGCTCACAAAATTGCTTCCGCCGCGGCTGGCCAATGTACGTCTGCACCTCAGATGATCCATTTATGAATCATTTAATGCTTTCCTAGGGTTAGGCCCCACAGTCGACTCCGTAACGGGGCATCTGCATACAGACGGGCCTACAGTCATCTTCTCCGCCTCGTTCAAAGGCTGACCCGCCACCAATGCTGCATGTTTTGTCGAATGGCCCTTGAGCCCAAAGGGCAAGATGCTTTGGAGGCATCTTATGCTGTCTTCGTCTGCGGCAAGCTCGACCGGGTTATAATGTACCAATGTATCCTTATGTTGTGCGATTACTTGCTTGCTGAGCGTGGTTGCACTCATCTCATTCTTCGCGGCAAGGAGAATGCCGGCTCTAGAGGCCTCTCTGAGGTGTTTGAGAAGTAGGAGACGGCTCTACGAAAGGCACTTCGCAAGGTCTGCATCTTCTTACTCTGTAACACAGTGGCTCATCACTGACTGGCCTGTTTGTAGCTGTTTTGACGGAGAAGAAGCCAAGAACCAGCTGTGCTAACATCTTTTGCCAGCCGGATGCAGCTCTGGGGACCATGCTTAAGTATAGAGTCTTTGCAGCACCAGGTGCACTGGTGAAAGGACATAACTGTATGTAGCACTTTTGCATTCTAGTACTATACAACCTAATATTGACAGAGGATGCTGCAGATTCAAGTGTTTTGGATAGCATAATTTATGGGACGGGTAATTTTGCTACATGAGATTCAGATCACCCTCTTTTACTCTCCAAATTTCCTCACAGATGATTTCCCGCCAGTCTGCTGGATAAAAAGCACCCACTTCACGTGCGCCTGCTATAAAGGTCGAAGGTGGACAAAAATAAATATCTTGTGTTGGCAGCGCTGAATCTTGTTTTTACAGCGGCCGACAGTTTATTTCACTGTAATATACCTAATTTATTTGTGTGTTAGTGAATCTATGCACATTTATACTCACTGTTGTGTGTGATCATGCAAGTAAGTGCACATTTGTTCAAATCTGTGCCTCTGTACAGACACAACTGGGAGTTTGAGAGTCATGGGCATGATATTATTGTGCACAATTGTGCACCTTTGTGCATTAGTACTCATTACAGATTCTCCATATTTAGATATAACGATAGCTCAAACAGGAAAATCAATGATAAGCGCCGCACGAGAATGAGTTCCAGACTGCGAGAACGAGTTTTGATGTGGACGAAATGCGGCTTGGGTGCATCTTTGTACACTTATTTATGAAGGTTGCTATTGGACAAAAAAAATGAGTTTGGAATTGGTGCAGACTGTACTCACAGTTTGGCGGACAAGGGTGCGCAAATGTGAACAAACGTGCACGAACGCGCACGAAAGCTCACAAAAGTGGGCAAACGTACATGATTGTGCACAAAAATAGACAAACGTACATGATCACGCACGAAAGCACACAAACGCACACGATCGTGCATGCCGCTGAGCTTTGGTTTTGGTTACGCCCTAATTTGAGATTGGTGATGGCGCTAATGTGTGCGCGTTCGTGCGTGTTCATGCATGTTCATGCATGTTCGTGCACTCAACTTATTATTCAGTTTCGTGTAAGCTGACAATTGGTTTTTATTTTCGTGATTATGCATCTCATTTGAATCTTCGAGTGCATAAAAGTGCATGAAGGTGCGTGAAGGTGCACAAAAGTGTGCGAAGGTGTGTGAAAGTAAACATCTAGCGAAAATGAATTGTGATAACATGAATGTGTAGTTTGTCAAATGCACACTTTTGTGCATGTAAGTGCACGAAGGTGCACAAACGTGAGCTTTTGTGCACGTTAGCACATGTTAGTGACCAAACGTGAGCTTTTGTGCACGTTAGCGCATGTTAGTGACCAAGCATGCATCATCATGCACGAAAGTGCACGAAAGTGCAGGAATACGCACGCATAACCTTAGACGCACATCAAAAACAAAAATTTGCGGCCGGTGTGAATGTGAGAATTCTTTTTGTCCAATAACACTCTTGATACTTATTTGCGGTATTGCGCACAATGTCGAGTGTAGATGCATGTAGATTCACTAACATACAAATAAATTAGGTATATCACAGTGAAATAAGCTGTCAGCTGCTGCAAAAACAAGATTCGGCTCTGCGAACACCAGATATTTATTTCTGTCCACCTTCGACCTTCATAGCCTGCTTTCATCTCGTAACTGGCCAAGAGGTGCGTATATAGTGGCACACCTTTGAGGCAAAAATTAACGCATGAGCAGGTCATTGTTCATTCCATTGATCTGACTACCATTCCTACTGATCGCTCTATGAATGCTTCAACGCTGCTTGCCCGATACACAGAGCTGACCTGGCTAGCAATCGCCTAGGACCTGCGCGTCCTCGGCAAGTTGGCCAGTGCCAAAGCCTTCTAAAACGCATTAAAGAACCCAACGAAAAGCTGTGCAAAGACAGTTCTCTCCAGACATTGATATTCCCCTTGCCACTTTCCTCCAGCTTCCCCCCGCAGACATGCGCGCCCGTCAATGCTCCATGTCCTCGTCCCCACTCGCTGATACCACCTGTGCCAAGCTGACAATCAGCGTGCCCAGGACACCTGTAACATCTGGCCGCGGCGAGCCGTTCCTTAGCGTGGCGATGACATACTTGGCCGGCCTCCGACAGAATGACGGAATGCAGCTCACAATGCGGCCGTCGAATGCAACGTTCTGTCCATCTGCGGACCTGGCTGCGCCGATGCTTATATTCTACGCTGGGTTGGGTCCCGCGCCTATGTGCAGATTTCTGTGAGAGTGGGCAATCCAATAGGGAGGTTGCAAAGGGCATTCTGTTTTTGGAGTGTCGAAGGCCGGGCGAGATTAGTTGTATATTGGCAATGACCTCAAGGTGCGGCTTGCTCTCCACATCATGGATGTGCTTTTGGCGTTGTTGAGGGCGGCTTGCTAGTTTCTCGGCTGCAAGTACGTCCAAGAGTAAGTGCTCGTTCTTCCTCCTATCCTTTCATTGTTCTCACACTCGTGCATAGGTACATCTGGCATAACCGTACAGGTGTTGGAGAAGCTGGTTCTCATCATTCAGGACATCTTGAGGCTATATCATGCTACGGCAGGGGAGATGTTCAATGAGATTTTAGTTGATCAATTTGTTGTTGAAAATGCAGGCCGCCGTCGTGGGCTGTATTGTTGAAAGGAGGCAAACGCGCAAGTGTTCGCAGTCTATTCGGCAGGTATTTATCTATGTTACAAATGTATCAGGTACGAACGTGGGCGCAATATAAGATAAATACAAGTAAACTACGTGTGCCCGAGGCACCAGCAAACACGATCTCGAGACGTGATCCAAAAATCTAATATTTGTGACTGATGTTTTTGAGTAGAGTATAATATTTTTCTGTGTCAATCCACTGCCAATAAGTCATTGTATTTGCATGCCACTCCGCAAATTAACATGCTGGGACCCACGCGGCCACTTCATACCCCGTCCACTTCTAACTCGTGTCCAGCCTAAGAGGTCGATGGTGTGGCGCTGCTATCATTAGATACATCAGGAAGGCGTGACAGCATACCACTCGGCTGAAACCGTTCGAGATCATAAGCCTCGAGTCTTCTGCTCGCATTAATGACAGATGCCACTGTCTGCCTGAAACACAGCACATTCTGAAGTCTGGTCATTCTTCGACGCAGTTCACGCGTCAAAGTTCAGCATTGCTCTCACAATGTCCTTCCTGGTCCATTCCTGCGATAGCATCCTCGTCGTCACAAGCTTTGGCGCCCCAACCACTTTGCAGCGTCCCCTCAACGTTGCCTAATCGACTCGTTGGCCTTGTGAAATGCAGTGTCAACTGCCCTTGCTGCAGATCACTGATGTGTACAGAGTAGTCCAACATCTCCGAGTAGGCTGTCTGGCAGAGGTTAATTATGAAGCAATTGATGAGCACCAAGGGCTGCACGGCCAACCCATATGTTCAGAAAGAATCAGTAGAATGTAGGGTACGTACCAAAGTCATCATCAACGTGCCCACAAATGATTCGTCCTTAAATTCGACATTAGTTATCGGCCTACAGGCTCATGTCGGGGACGTACCGCAGACAGGTTGGTGGTCAGCAATTGGGTAACGTTTATTGCTAGCAGAGCTCTATATCCATTACTATTTGTGAGAGATTCCTTTCGATGCAGCCCTCTCATCACACTCACATGAAATAGATAGTTCCTGCGTGGGCAACTGAGCATCAGGAGCAGGGTTGTGATGATGTGCAGAGGACTACGAACCGTCAAGCAGCAGACACTTTGTCAGCGACACCCTCATGTTGAGGCATCATGCATCCTTCCATTGTCCAAATGTCTTAATCCAAGTCAGGATGACCACAATGGTGTCGGTGAGAATAAGCGAGACACGTGTGATATATGTGACTATGAGCACGTGGTATCAGTGTCTCAGACATAGTAGAATGCTCTGACCGCAGAACGTACGTCTATATTGTGAAAGCTTAGTATTCTGGAAATGCAGCCATGACAAAGAACCATACACTCACGTATCAAATTTTTGTTCAGAGATAGGAGGGATCGAGACGCATGTCATTCCAGTGATCGGGTCTATAGTGAGTCTGTCCTTCGATCCTACCGTGCTATACTGCGTAAAAAGGTGGGTAAGGGCATATGTTAAGTTTGGACAAGGGTGACACGCACTAGATTTGTTGCGAATGGAGCCATGCTCAGTGTGAACACCACCAGCAACCAGACATAGCTCCTGTTCCAGATTGCAAAGATGCGCAGGGCAGAAAAAACTGATAAAACGAAGTTAGTGGGCACTTCTGACTTGCGCAGCATCTAGTAGCACTACATATCGTCATGAAGGTAAGATACGGTAAGCAACATGTCGCGCTCTTCGAAGCATCAGTCATTTTCTGGCTACACCGAAGTTTACCAACTAAGAAGGTCGGGCTTTCGGATCTAAGCCTCGATATGTACTGCTGCATTTAATCCACTAGCATACACACCCGCAGTATGCAGTTTGAAATTCATTTACTCAGCCGACGAGACTGCCTGTGACTCACAGCTAACCTCATTCGGAGAGGCCTGACGGCACACAATCTGGTTAGGACCGTTTGATATCCTACTCGCACAAGTGATAAATGCCGTCGTTCGCCTGGAACATACTCTCAAGCCTAGTTCGATCCTCGGTGCCGGCTCACGCTTCGTCACGACGTCCTTCCTCGTCCATTCCCGCGGCATCACTCTCTTCGCTATAAACTTCGTCGCCCCAACCACTTTGCAGCGTCCCCCAATG